ACTCTGTATCCAAAAAGAAAAAAGTTCACCAAACCAAAATCTTAGCGGTTACATATCCTGAAGTCCGCTTATGCTAACCACTTCAGTCTGTGCCCAGAAAAGACCCACAAGAAGTTGAGAGAACCTATTTGATGTATTATTGCCTGTGACATTTGCTGTCACCTCACAATTTAAAGTTGATCGTTTCTCAAACTTTTATTTCAGCCGCTTAACACTGGGACCTGTAGTTTGCATTGCTGCCAGCAGGTGGAGGTGGTGTCTAAATCACTGGTCTCACCTAAATGCAGCGGTGCTTTCTCTCCCTCTCTGGACACAGCCCTCAGATTTCTAACCAGGCATTTTCCAGTTACTTGTTTAATAATTATTAATAATGATAAAGACAGTAATAATAATAAAATACCTGCTTGAAATAGTTCACATATTATTTTTTCAATATTGTGTAAGACGTCTTACAGGACTGAGGTTTATTTTAATTTTTTTTGTTTGTTTTTTTGAGACAGAGTCTCACTTTGTCACCCAGGCTGGAGTGCAGTGGCGCAATCTCAGTTCACTGCAACCTCTGCCTCCCGGGTTCAAGTGACTCTCCTGCCTCAGCCTCCCAAGTAGCTGGGATTACAGATGCCCGCCACAATGCCCGGCTAATTTTGGTGTTTTAGTAGAGATGGGGTTTCGCCATGTTGCCCAGGCTGGTCTCGAATTCTTGTGCTCAAGTGATTCACCTGCCGTGGTCTCCCAAAGTGCTGGGATTACAGACGTGAGCCACCACGCCTGGCCTATTTTGATTTTTTAAAATGTGTGCTTCTGGTATCTTCTGTGAAAAAAAAGTTTTAAAATTTTAAAAAAGTGTGCTTATTTGTTTGGGTTCTTTAAGAAACATGGATTAGTCATTTTTGAAAGGGAAAAATGAAAGTATCACTTGTTTTCATAAGTTTTAAAGAAACACACAGGTCCCAGGGGTATCTTTGTCTTGTCAAGAGCTACAGCTTGATGACCGGCAGAATATCTAGTGTCTCTGGCTACTTATCTAGCAGTGGCAAAGGATCTGCTTTCTGTCACAGACGTGACAATCACATCCTCCTATCTTTTTTTTTCCCCCTCAGAGAAAAAAAAAAAAAGACATTGTCAGAGACAGTATCTTGCTCTGTCGCCCAGGCTGGAGTACAGTGGTACAATCATTGTTCCCTGTAGCCTTGAACCCCTGGACGCAAGCAATCCTTCTGCCTCAGCCTCCCAGGTAATTGGGACCACAGGTGCACCCTACCATAACTGGCCAATTTTTTTTTAATTTTTCATTTTGTAGAGAAGCGGGTGTGACTCATTGCCCTGGCTGGTCTGGAACTCCTGGCCTGAAGTAGTCCTCCCACCTCAGTCTCCTGAAGTGCTGGGATTACAGGTGTGAGCCACTGTGCTCAGCCCCATATCTAAGATGTTTAAAGCTAGTTATGGAAAATACTTTCATTAATCTTTTTACTGTCTGATCGTGTGGTGTGGAATTTTTCCCCTTGGTTAACAGGAGGTATTACCCTGATACCTGAGTAGAGGTGCAAAGCGGTTCTTTTTCTTCTGTGTCCCAGACCAGAACTAGTTATTTTGCTTACTATGAAAAAGTTATGCATTAGCTCTTAGTAGTAAATAGTGATAAATATCCCATTTTTTAAGAACCATGGTCCAGACCCCACAATCCCTCTTTCAAACATTATTTCATATAATCCACATTTCAGCCCAATGAAGTAGGTTACAGATCTCTTCTTTTTATAGATGAGAAAACACGCCTTTGTGAGAGTAAGCACGTCACCTTTAGGTGATAGAGTCCGGTGTCTAGACTTTCTAGACAAGGCGGGGGGTGGGACTGGCTGGGGCTTTGATTACAAAGAACCTAAAAGAGGCAGATTGTGTCCTGTTATCATAGACTATTTTGACGTAAAATATAAACCTCGTATGGTACAAACTATACATTTCAGTTGGTTCCCACAGCTGGAAGCCTTACAGTTTCTCCTTTAAAAGAAATCCACTGCTCATTTCCCTGTTGTTTGGGGCCTCAGCCCCGAAAGTGGTGATGTCTAAAATGCCATTATTAAGGGACCTGTGAAATAAATTATGGTATATTAATATAAAATGAGATACTTTTCAGCCATTAAAAAGAGTATCTATCTAGATATACTTACATGGAAAAATTACCATGAAATAAGCAAATTGTAGAAGAATAGGTACTATTTCTTGATTTGAAAGACGTGTGCTTGAAATGCATATTTTTTTCCAAATCATATTTATTTGTAAACTTTTTAATGAGATATAGCTTATATGGAGTGATATTTACAGATTTTTTTTTTTATTGTTTTTTTTTTTGAGACGGAGTCTCACTCTGTCACCCAGGCTGAGTGCAGTCGTGTGATCTTGGCTCATGGCAACTTCCGCCTTCCAGGTTCAAGCGATCCTCCCACCTCAGCCTCCTGAGTAGCTCAGACCACAGGTGTGCACCACCCTGCCTGGCTAATTTTTTTGTATTTTTCGTAGGGACAGGGTTTCACCAGTTAGCTAGGCTGGTCCCGAACTGCTGACCTCAAGTGATCCACCCACCTCGGCCTCCCAAAGTGCTGGGATTACAGGCATGAGCCACCGCCCACAGCAGTATTTACATATCTTAAGTGTACAGTGGAGCTTACATCTGGAATAATATACCCCAAATTTTTAAGAGTAGTTACCTCTGGGGAATGAGATTAGCATAAGAAGATCTTTCACTTTTTGCTTTGTTTGAATTTTTTGTAATGATCATGTTATTATATAAATATGTATATAGCTGTGTGAATGTGTATATATATATGCATATATATTTTTGTTTGTTTTAAATAAAAGATTAGATGCACACATTTACACTCATGTTCAACTTGAGAAGCTTCCCAGGGATCTCAGAGATCCATCCCATCTTCTATCCTGAAATCTTCCATCCTGAATAGGAGAATATGCCTGGGAAATTTTACTTTAAAAGCTGAAGATTTGGAAAGCCAGAAGTGACTGAGAGATCAAGGCCACTCTCTTGTTATTTCTTACCAGACTGTGCGTCCTGATAAGAAATGTTGGGGTGTTGGACTGAGCAGCCTGTTTTAGGCCCCCACCCTCCTTATCAACCTCCAGCAATTCCTCATCAGGAAAAAGAATAGGCGTCCCTGAGGTTCTCTCCAATTCTCTGGGCACCAGAAACACCTCCTTATTTTTAGTACATTTGTGAATGAGTGTATATTAAGCATTCCCAGTTTTCAAGATAAAAAGTTCAAAAGGACAAAAATAACATGTATTTATTTTTGTTGCCCCATATCATATAGTGGGGCATCTCAGCTGTCACAGGCAGATAATAATTATGAATTGACAATTTATATAATTAGGTGGGGCACAGTGGCTCACGCCTGTAATCCCAGCATTTTGGGAGGCTGAGGCAGGAGGATTTCTTGAGGCCAAGTGTTCAAGACCAGCCTGAGCAACATAGTGAGACCCCATCTCTAAAAATTAGCTGGATGTGGTGGCATGTGCCTGTAGTTCCAGCAGCTCAAGAGGCTGAGGCAGGAGGATTGCTTGAGCTCAGGAATTGAAGGCTGGAGGGAGTTATGATCACGCTACTATACTCCGGCCTGGGTGATAGAATGAGATCCTGTCTCTAAAAAAAAAACAAACCAATTTACACAATTGAATACTGAATTTTTTGGACAGTGTCACTTTCCTAATCCCCCACCCCCTCCGTCAACACTTCTGTCCACCCTCCCTTACTTTCAGAGTCAGTTATTTCATCTGCTTGTGTTTACCCATAAAAATTGCCTTGGGGGGGTACATGGGATGGGTATTGGAGAGAGGCTGAAGGAGGCTATGTTTTCCCATCAGTGGTTTCATTATCACCAGAACCCTCAGCCTGTGGTAGATAAAGCTGGGAGGGAGTGTGTTAGCATTCCAGGCTCAGGGCGGGGTACTGTGCTGGTGAAGTGAGAGTAATGAGGGCCCTGGCTGTTCCCTTCAATTTGAGACTGGAGGCATCGCCTCAGGGCTCCCCACACCAAAGTCCTAGGACTCCAGTGATCACCTTTGGGTCCTTCTGCTGCCTCCCTTTAACCTTTTCAGCTTTCACTGGTTTGAATCATATCCTGGGCCAGACGGCAGAAGCTGTGCCTCCTTTCAGTAGGTGTGCTCGTAATAGGGACACTGACAGAAGAGCAAAGCTGTTAGATCCCATAATTTCTGACTTCTGTCCACCCATGTTTCTCCTTTTTTTTTTTTTTTTTTTGAGACAGAGTCTTGCTGTGTCACCCAGGCTGGAGTACAGTGGCATGATCTCAGCTCACTGCAGCCTCTGTTTCCTGGGTTCACACGATTCTCCTGCCTCAGCCTGCCAAGTAGCTGGGACTACAGGCACATACCATCATGCCTGGCTCATTTTAGTATTTTTTGGTAAAGATGGGGTTTTGCCATGTTGGCCAGGCTGATCTCGAACTCCTGACCTCAAGCGATCTGCCCATCTCGGCCTCCATATTTCTTCTTAATTATGTAATAAAAAGACTAATTCGGAGGCACACTCACATAAGAAAGCAGAACATGTTAAGCAAAGAGAGCCTTACCTTGCTGAGGGAAAAGAAGGAATTAATTTTTATTGCCAACTTTGTGTCACATGCTGTGTCTCCCAACATTATCACCCCTAGCCCTTACAGCAACCCTGTGGGACTGGTGTTGTCATCACCTCTGTTTCACCACTGAGATCACGGGAAGCTTCCGAGTGGAGGCTGAGCCAGAGCTGTCTGGCTGTAGTGCCTGTGCCATTCCACTCACATTTGCTTGCAATTTGGCCCTGACTACCGATGATAAAGCCCGGGAGATAGTATCTGTGAAGTACCTAGCTTGGTGCCTGGCACATACTTAGAAAATGTTCCTCCCAACAGCCTCACCCATCCTCAGTCACCTTCCACCCGCCTGTTGGAAGCATAGCCTCCACCACTAATTTCTTCTCAAACTATTTTTAACAGGACCTCGGACAGTGATCCACCCTAAAGCACGAATTATTGCAGAAGCCGGGCCAATAGTGATTGGCGAAGGGAACCTAATAGAAGAACAGGCCCTCATCATAAATGCGTGAGTAAGACTCTTATACATACTGTGAACCAAGGACGATGGGTAATGGTTTTTCTTAATTTTAGCTGTCTGTAAGACCCTTTTCAACGTACATCCAGGATGCGTACTATTTTAGAGCTAGAGAAACATTAAGGGTCTTTTTCAACATAAGTAAATAAGCAAACCAAAAACCATATGAGGGAAAAGACTTGTCCAAGATGAGAGAGCTGAGTAGCTGCCTAGAATCTTTGATGCTGGGCCTGGTCATCTTCCCCTTACATGTGGCTTTCTCACCCATTCCTTAAGCAAACATTTCCTGAGCACTTCAAGCCTCCCAGTGCTGTGCCCACCACCCTGCAGAGAGTTTTTTTGGATTTTTCGGTTCTAGCCGAAATGTTATTACTCATGCCTAAACATGTGAATTTAACTCTAATATATTTTTTCACATGTTTTGCACAGGTGACACCCAGAATTATAGTTGAAAAATGTGGAGTCCTAGAGGCAATTTTTTAACTGTAAAGATTAAAAAATAATAAAATACTAGAACATGTGCATGATCATAGTGAACCAGACTGTAAAACCCATGAATTTTTCATAAACATTTATAAGTTCTTTCTAGATAAAATTTTGGGAAGGAATTCAAGTTTATACCTAATTTATAGCAACCGTGTATGGAATTTGTAAGAAAGACCTTGGGAAAATATTTAACTGTCAGAAAAAGACTGATTTAATGCTTACTTAGGATTTAAAATACATTTGGCACCTTCAGTGTAAGTCAATTAACAGCAGCTATATTCTGCAGTAACTCAACTGTCAGAGATAAAACACCATTTAAAAATGGCGTCCTCTTCTTAGAACACAAACATTTTATCTTCCAAGTATTTCAACTAGCTAATAGCAATAATTATTTTATGTGAATATCTGTTTATGTTTCACAATCCCAAATAATTATTAAGAGTGGAAAATTTTCAAGTTAGGCATGATTTTGATTCTAGTTAACAGCCTAAAAAGATAGCTAGCATCTTTTTTCCTTAGTCCTGGAGAAGACCCACTGGACTTTGAATTTAAAAAATAAACTAAAGTAGGCCGGGCGTGGTGGCTCACACGGGTAATCCCAGCACTTTGGGAGGCCAAGGCAGATGGATCATGAATGAGGTCAGGAGTTCAGACCAGCCTGACCAATATGGTGAAACCCCGTCTCTACTGAAAATACAAAAAAAAATTAGCCGGGCATGGTGGCACCCCACCTTGTAGTCCCAGCTACTTGGAAGGCTGAGGCAGGAGAATCACTTGAAGCTGGGAGGCAGAGGTTGCAGTGAGCCAAGATTGTGCCACTGTACTCCAGCCTGAGCGACACAGCAAGACTCCGTCTCAAAAAATATAATAAACTAAAATAAATAAATTAAGGAAGGCTGTTCTTCTCTACACACCAATGACTTCTTCATTTTTCAGTAGCTCTCTTCAACTCAAAATCAAGCCTGCTCTAGCATACAGGATGAATGAATGACTTAAATTAAGAAATAACTTACATAGGCTGGGCGTGGTGGCTCACACCTATAATCCCAGCACTTTGGGAGGCCCTGACTAGTGGATCACCTGAGATCAGTTCGAGACCAGCCTGGGCAACATGGTGAAACCCCACCTCTACAAAAATACAAAAATTAGCCGGGCCTAGTGGCACGTGCCTGTAGTCCCATCTACTTGGGAGGCTGAGGCAGGAGAATCTCTTGAACCCAGAGATGGAGGTTGCAGTGAGCCAAGATGGCGCCACCGCACCAGCCTGGGTGATAGAGTGAGATTCCATATCCAAAAAAAAAAAAAAAAAAAAAAAGAGAAATAACTTACATAGTCATATCTTTTAAGCTTGATGTAGGTAAAATTTAAGGAATTAACCAACAGCCAGGTGCAGTGGCTCAAGCCTGTAATCCCAGCACTTTGGGAGGCCGAGACAGGCGGATCATGAGGTCAGGAGATCGAGACCAGCCTGGCTAACACAGTGAAACCCCGTCTCTACCAAAAAAATACAAAAAACTAGCTGGGCGAGGTGGCAGGCGCCTGTAGTCCCAGCTACTCGGGAGGCTGAGGCAGGAGAATGGCGTAGACCCGGGAGGCGGAGCTTGCAGTGAGCTGAGATCCGGCCACTGCACTCCAGCCTGGGAGACAGAGCAAGACTCCGTCTCAAAAAAAAAAAAAAAAAAAAAAAAAAAAAAAAAGAATTAACCAAAATTCGAAAATGGGAAGAAAATTGCTCATCGTGTTACTGACTTTTTGGATGATTTGTTTCTTCTTTTTACAGTTACCCAGATAATATCACTCCTGACACCGAAGATCCAGAACCAAAACCTATGATCATTGGCACCAATAATGTGTTTGAAGTTGGCTGTTGTATCCTTTACAATAATCTACCATAAATAATTCCCGGCTGTCCTTTGGTACCTAAGTCTTCTGTAGAAATTGTAAAACTGTCACAATTTGGCTATCAAATATACTTACATTCATAATATATATTATATTTTTAAAAGTAGGTCATCCAGGCTGGGTGCGGTGGCTCATGCCTGTAATCCCAGCACTGTGGGAGGCCAAAGTGGGCAGATCACTTGAGGCCAGGAGTTCAAGACCAGCCTGGCCAACATGTTGAAACCCTATCTCTACTATTAAAAAAAAAAAATTAAAAAATCAGCTGGGTACGGTGGCGCATGCCTGAAATTGCAGCTACTCAGGAAGCTGAGGCAGAATCGCTTGAACTCAGGAGGCGGAGGTTGCAGTGAGCCAAGATTATGCCACTGCACTCCAGCCTGGGTGACAGAGCGAGACTCCATCTCAAAAAAGAATAAAAAGGGGGCGGTGGCTCAAGCCTGTAATCCAGCACTTGGGAGGCGAGACGGCGGCACGAGGCAGAGATCGAGACCATCCTGCTAATATGTGAAACCCGTCCTACTAAAAATACAAAAAACTAGCCGGGGGGTGGGCGCCTGGTCCAGTACTCGGAGCTGAGGAGGAGAATGTGTAAACCGGAGGCGGACTCAGTGAGCTGAGATCCGGCCACTGCACTCCAGCCTGGGCGACAAGCGAGACTCCGTCTCAAAAAAAAAAAAAAAAAAGAATAAAAATAAAAATAAATAAAAATAGGTCACCTAGCTCTTTGAACAGACTTTTTTAATAGTATATATGTTTAAAATGGTCCCTTCTGTTCCTGTAAATAAGTCAATAGAGTAAAGTAAGTATGCCGTTTTTAGACAAACGCAGACACACATGTATCTTTAGCTCAGCACTTTGAAAGTAACCACTTTTGCTGGTTGACAGGTAGCAATGGCTGAGTGACAATAAACATAGAAATAGCAATGCTGGCTTCCTTCTTGATTCAAGAATCCCAACTTTGTCAGTGTGTCTCCTACATAGTTTTAGGTAGACAACACATTGTCTGATTCAAGAAAATGGTGTGTAGGGGTGAAAATATTCCATTATTCATGTGTTGTCTTTCCCCCCCCCCCAGAATGTCTCCAGTTCTTTTGCTTAGTTTAGTACTCTAAAAAGATAGTAAAATCAGGCCAGGCGCAGTGGCTCATGCCTGTAATCCCAGCACTTTGGGAGGCCAAGGCGGGCGGATTACCTGAGGTTGGGAGTTTGAGGCCAGCCTGACCAACATGGAGAAACCCCATCTCTACTAAAAACACAAAATTAGCCGGGCGTGATGGTGCATGCCTGTAATCCCAGCTACTCGGGAGGCTGAGGCAGGAGAATCACTTGAACCTGGGAGGCGGAGGTCGCGGTGAGTGGAGATTGCGCCATTGTACTCCAGCCTGGGCAATGAGTGAAACAAAACTCCGTCTCAAAAAGATTAAAAAAAAAAAAAAAGATAGTAAAATCTTATGGCGTCAGCAAAACATACAATATATAGTAGAAAATATTTACAAGGAAAAATCTAAATGTTCAACGATAGCAAGATATTTAAATAAATTGAACTATGAGCATAAAACCACTAGGACCACTAAGCAGTCATTTAAAATTATGTTTTCAAAGATTTTACTTTATCTTTTTTGAGACAGGATCTTGCTCTGTCACCCAGGTTGGCATGCAGTGGCATAATCATAGCTTACTGCAGCCTCAGCTCCCAGACTCAAGCAATCCTCCCATCTCAGCCTCCCAAGTAGCTGGGATTATAGGCGCACACCACCGTGCCCAGCTAATTTTACTTTTGGTAGAGATGATGTCTCACTCTGTTGCCCAAGCTGGTCCTTGAACCCGTAGACTCAAGCAATCCTCCCACCTTGGCCTCCCAGAGTGCTGGGGTTACAGATGTGAGCCACCCTCCCTGGCCTAAAGATTTTAATAGCGTGGAATAATGCTTGCAAATTTAAGTGAACTGAATAAGCTATAAAAGTTTATACAGTTTGATTCCCACTTATATACAGGAAATTCTATATATTTATATAAAGATATATCAAACTTTTAACAGTGTTTAAGTGATTGGGTGATGGATAATTTTAATTATCTTGAAACAATTATGAAAATACTCATAAAATCAGAGTATAAGGACTTGTTTCTTCAAAAAACACAAATCATTTATTTATACCTAGAGATATTTATGTTTAAAGATTAAACCGTTACCACAGATTGCCCAGACCCAAGAGTTCTGGCAAGGGTGAGCCTGCATGGCCCATCTGACACCCCTGTCCTCTGTCCCAGTGCAATATAAAAACATACTGTGTTAGTGGGGACTAAAGGTGAACATATTTATAGTATTTACCTAACTCTGGCTTACAGATTCCCAAGCTATGAAGATGGGAGATAATAATGTCATTGAATCAAAAGGTAAGCTACGTTCAGAGTTTTATTGTCAAAGCAGTGACCTCTTTTCTCTTTGTGTTCCGGGAAACAGCCTAATACAAACTGGCAAGGTGGTGTGCTTGGAAGGGGGCTACAATAGCTGGCAAACTAATTCTTTGCCACTAAGGAACCTTAATCTGGTTATGTGGTTGTCTGGTAATGTTAAATACATTAAATATAAAATCAGCTGTGTACAGGATTGAATTAAACCATAAAGTTTAAATGAAAGATTCGGAAAAGATTTCTACTAAATACTAGTCTCTGAAATTTTAGTTGGGTAGTGTTGTTGTAGAATTAAAGGAGGGGAAAAATCACAGTGTCTCTAGCAGTTGTTTTCTTTAATTTCAGGAATACTTTTCCCTAACCAATCAGAAACCAATATCATGAGCTTGTAAGTGGGACCAGACAGGAGATTATGTAAAGTCAGTGTCACTACTGGGAAGCAACTTCAAGAGCTTGTCCCACCAAGGTCCAGAAAGAACCTGGATGATGCCAGTTCTTTAGATTAGTGGGTTATCTTTCTTGGTCCCGAGTGGCATGAAAGAAAATGCTGCTTTTTTAAATAATAAAATGATACTTTGTGTTAATCTACTTAATGACTTTTATTTTAATTTGGATTATCAATTATCACTATTATCATCAGCATTTTCTGTTTATTTTATGCTTACTGTGTTTCAAACCTGTGCTCATCACTTTACATCTGTTATTGCATTATTCCTTAAACTGTGAGGTAGAGTGGCCTCTTCGTTTTATAGATGAACTTGAGCTTAGAGACTTTGCGGTGACTTTCCCAAGGTCACACAAATAGCAGCAGAGCTCCATTTTGAATCCATCTGACCCTGGCTTGTACTGCCTGCCTCTGTGTTGTCCATACAAACTCCAAACTGATGTATTTTCTTTAACTTTTTTCTTAAGGCCAGTTTACATTTTTATACCTAAATCATCTTAGGAAAAAAAGTGTTGCAGTCATTTGATGTCTTAAGTTGCAGTTCTTTCTATGTTTTTATTGCAGCATATGTAGGCAGAAATGTAATACTGACAAGTGGCTGCATCATTGGGGCTTGTTGCAACCTAAATACATTTGAAGTCATCCCTGAGAATACAGTGATCTATGGTGCAGACTGCCTTCGTCGGGTGCAGACTGAGCGACCACAGGTACTAGAACCTCTCTTTAAAAAGAGTTCTATCTGCTAATTTTCCCAAAATACAATGTAATTGTCTTCATGAGGCAGCAGGTACACTATTTAAGAAGAACATAATTAAAATAAAAGAAGCCAGGTTCAATGACTCATGCCTGGAATCCTAGCACTTTGGGAGGCCGAGGCAGGAGGATGACTTGAGGCCAGGAATTTAAGACCAGCCTGGGCAACATAGTGAGACTCTGTCTCTACAAAAACTAGAAAAACTTAGCCAGGTGTGGTGGGGCATGACTATAGCCCAGCTACTGAGGAGGCTGAGGTGGGAAGATAATGCTTGAGTGTGAGATTACCATGAACCATGATCATGCCACTGCACTCCAGCCTGAGCAACAGAGACCCCAACTCAAAAAATAAATAAATAAAAAGAAAACAATGAGAAACATGCCGAAAACCCAGGATTTAATTGCAGTTCAATTATTTAGTCTTTAGGTTAATATCAAAAATATATACAAGGATGACGATGACAAGTCAGTTATGAGAAAAGATCCAGAAATGTTACTCTTGGTCTCATGCATTGTCACTGACAATGCATAAACAAACCGTACAAGCCATATTGATTTACTCCTAAAATACCAGTCTTCAAAGTTAAGGAATGACCATACTACGTTTATCCTGTGCCTCTACCTGGGGTGTGTCTATTTAGTTTATTGCCATAGCTTCATAATAAACACAGTTTGTGAATAAGAAAGTATGTTTGGATATTTTCCTGGCTTGAAAAATTATCTCCTCCTAGAAACTCAGATCAAGAATAATGTTGAGTAAATATTTGGAGTTTAATATTAGAGTAGGAGATGAAAAAGGGCATTTGGGTTTCCTTTGGACATAAGACATTTGTATTGCAGTTTTGAGCCTCATTGCTTGGCACATTCGATATATATTTCTTCAGTTACCTAGCCTCCTTTTCTTCCCACTAAAGAAAATAGTTTCAAGGACTGTGGGAGGCCAAGGCAGGCAGATCACTTGAGCCCAGGAAGGAGTTCAAGACCAATCTGGGCAACATCATGAGACCCCATCTCTACAAAAAATAAAAAATCATCAGTTGGGCCTGGTGGCATTCACCTGTAGTCCCAGCGACTTGGGAGGCTGAGGTGGGAGAATCGCTTGAGCCCAGGAGGTCAGGGCTGCAGTAAGCTCTGTACCACTGCACTCCAGCCTGGCTGACAGAGTGAGGATCTGTCGCAAAAAAAGAAAAAAAAAAAAAAAAAGAATAGTTTCAAAACATAACTATGCCTCTGATTCTTAGCCATATTTTATCGGGAATCAAAACTCCAGTTCTTTCTGGGTTACTCTATTTCTGTAATGTTTGGCTTCATTATTATTATAATTATAAACAAGTATTACTCTATAGACTAAAAAAGAAATAACGCCAAATCTAGTCATTTTTTTACTTTCTACATAACAGCAAAAATGACTGAAGACTGGGAAATGAAGCTGGTGTTGAGGAAGGGAGATTAGAATTAAGTGAGCAAGAATATCTGAAACTTATTTTATAATATGCAATATTGTCTTCCACATTTCACTGATCATAAGGACTATATAGAGGTCTTTATTAAAAATAAAGATTCCCCAGACTTATTGAGTCACAGTGCTAGGGCAGGGGCCTAAAAAGCTATATTTTTTACAAGTACTGCAGTGAGTTTTACAATCAGGAAAATCTGGGCAGTACTAATATATGAAGAATGAAGATCAGACAGGTGTATCCAAGTACACCTCAGCTGTGTGGCCCTGTAGGTCACGTGGAAAACAAAATACTATGTGTTTTACTTATGTGGTCTTCTGTAATTGGAACTTTTTAACTTTTCAGAAGCCAAGATGAAATCTACAAAAGCGAGTTTGAAAAGTGACTTCTGTATATTTTTATATAAATATATAAAATCTGTTGGCTTTTTCTTGTAACCAGACTTAGCATATGTTCATTATAAATTTTAAAAAGACGAGCAGGTAAGCAAAATTGAGTCAATGAAAATCACCTATAATTCCACAACTTATTTATTAATAACCATTGCCACCTGGAACTTTTTTTTTTTTTTTTTTTTGAGACAGGGTCTGGCTCTGTCACCCAGGCTGTAGTGCAGTGGTGCAATCATGGCTCACTGCAGCCTCAACCTCCTAGGCTCAATCCACCTGCACCCCCGCCACCCTGCTTCCACCTCAGCCTCCTGAGTAGCTATGACTACAGGGGCGTGCCACCACACACAGCTAATTTTTAAATTTTTTGTAGTGACAAGATCTCCCTATGTTGCTCAGGTGGTCTGGAACTCCTGGGCTCTAATCATCATCCTCTCTGGGCCTCCCAAAGTGCAGAGATTACAGGCATGAGCCACCATGCCTGGTCGCTGCGTGGTACTCTTGACTTTGCTTTCTGCCAGCCAGCCTTAATTACCTTATCTTTTTAGCCCCAGACACTACAGCTGGATTTCTTGATGAAAATCTTGCCAAATTACCACCACCTAAAGAAGACTATGAAAGGAAGCTCAACTCCAGTAAAGAACTAAGAACAGTATATGACATGAAGATAACATTTTGTCTTTGACCACTGTCTTTTGAATGGGCCCACAGTGTTTATGCACTCTTAACAATGCACAGAATAATATGTGTTCACTGTATTTTGTAAAATTGGGTTGAGAGGAAACTAATGGAGTTTCATTGTAACTGTCCTTTGTAATTTATATAAATGTATTATTTTCATATATCCTTGCTTCTTTTCTGATAATTTACAGATTTAGCTTTTCTTTTGTTGTATAAACTGCTGCCACAAATTTTAGTTATGTGAAAGACTGCCATGACAAGAAAAGACATACTGTTATGTATTTACATTCTAGCATAGACTAAACTGAATAAAAAGGCTGATAACAGCGCCTTTAGTGGGCATGATCAGGTTTTCTATTTGAATTAATCTTTTCTCTTAATTTTTATTATGTACTAGTTGTATTAAAGCTAATGTGTTTACTTTTTCCTCTTGTGGATTTGTAGCTGTTTAAAATTTCAGGTGAAATTTCAGTAGCTATTGAATTAATTTAGACTTCACTTTGTTTTTAAGAAAAATACAGTTTTTTTCTTTTTGGTAAAACAAAAGTAATCAGGGAAAGATGTCTTCAGTAGAATACAAATGAGTGGCATTCTTGGGTTTCTGAGGACAATGAAACGAAAAGAAATTTTGAAATTTATACACGTTTCTGAAATTGTTAATATTTTAGCATAGTACTAATCACTCATCATTGAGCTTTATTATTCTATTGTCTGTAGTGAGCAAGATGTTGAGAATTTTATAATTCCAAATTTTCAAAGTAATTCAAGTATACATTTACTGGAACATACTTCTCAACTTTTGAATTAGTAGGTATTGACTAATACTGAGATACTAAAATACTAAGATATTTTCTCAAAATTTAATTTTTATTTATTTATTTTAGAGACAAGGATCTCACTCTGTTACCTAGGCTGGAGTGCAGTGGCACAATCTTTGCTCGCATGGATCACTTGACCTCCTCAGGCTGAAGTGATCCTCAGCCTCTTGAGTAGTTGGGACTACAGGCATAAGCCGCCATGCCTGGCTTTTTTATGGTTTTTAACTTTTTGTGGAGACAGGATCTTGCTGTGTTGCCCAGGCTGGTCTCAAACTCCTGACTCAAAATTTAATTTTTAATTGTGAATAGAGAAAAATATATTTTTGAATTTCTGAATCTGACAGTGCAAATTAGCCCAATTGTTCGAAATTGGAATGATTTTGGTAAGAATACTCACGACTAAACTTGGAAAACTATACTGTAGTGGATGAAACATTGAGCTTTTGAAAAGGAGAACATAAATGCCCTATTTCTGTTGACTGCTATTTATTCATTTTTCAACCCCCTGGTGATCAGTTCAGAATGTTGTTGATCATGGAAATTTTCTAGATAAAAGAAATCAGAAATTACAAGACAGTCTTTGAAATTCTATACTGGTTCTAATGTATTCTCTCTGGATAGGCTCTGATATGCTAAGTAAATGGCCTTTCCAAACTACACAGGTACTATGTGGGGCAACAGTGAGATACCTTCTAAGGACTTGATAAGAAGAAACCACCAGAGAATCAACACATAGTGAGGAGAGTCTCAATGCTTCCCAGGTACACTGTAGGTTGTTACATGATATTAACTCATTTGAGGAAAGAAAATAACCAAAATTATCAACTCACCAAAATGGGATTTGAAGAAACAAAATATGACAGTGTGTATACAGTGTTATCCATGAAAAGGAAGTCCTGCATCCAAGAGATGTGAGTAATTCAGTGACCCAAAGTGTTCTCTACTTCAGTTAGGACTAGTTTATCAAGACCCAAGGTATGTGGCTTAGGGAGAACATACCTTGAGACTTGCCACTTCTTTTGGCACTAATTACAAGTCTAACTGAACCATCTTCTGATTGTTAATATGGCCTTTAAGCTATTATTGTTCAGGAAGAGGGAGAATTCTGCATAAGGGCACCAAAATTTCATTCTGCACATAGTAAATTTAGAGAAATTCTCTGGTTTATACGTCAGTCTCGTGAATTTTGTTTTGTGTGGTTCTGCCCCCAAGTTTGTCAGTTTAGTCTATGAATTTCTGAATATTCTAATGAAACATAGTTTCTGATTCTTCAAGATAGAGAACCAAAGCTCAGACAGATGACTGCAGACTTCACTCTTTGGGGCTTCTGCATAGCCAGGCTGTCAGCCTTCTCCTAGTGGCACTCTGTCTCACTTGAGACTATACTGAAACTACATCCCAAATATTCTAGACAAATAAGCTAAGTGATTAGGAGAACCCAGACATCCATGTGACATGAGGTAGTAACTGGACAGGGAAAAAAGAGAAACCATTTTATCAAATCATCTTATTGCAATCTGGCACTAGCTGTTTGGTCAAAATGATGATGGATCTTCGCCAATTGAATAGTGTAAGGTCTGGAAACAGTGATGAAACTTCACTTCATCCATAAGGACACACTGTAGTAGTTATGTATGCTGTGTAACAAACTACCCCCAAAACTAAAACAACACACATCTTATTAGCTCACTCAGTTTCTGAGAATCAAGAATCTGTGTGTGTCTTAGCTGATGCTGGGGCTGCAGTATCCATTTCCAAGATGGCGCACTAACATGGTTGTTGCCAGAAGGCCTTAGTTCGTCATCACATGAGCCTCTCTACAAGGCTACCTGGGTGTTCTCTTGACATGGCAGCTGGCTTTCTCCAGAATGAGTGATCCCAGAGAGGACGGAAGCCACAGGGCCTTTCATGACCTAGTCTCTGAAGTTGTACACGATCATTTCTGCTGAATTTGATTTGTTAGAATTGAGTCACTAAGTCCATTCTACACTGAAAGGATGGGGAATTAGGCTCTACCTTTTGAAGGGAATGGCATCAAAGAGTTCATGCTCTTATTTTTATTTTTTATTTTATTTATTTGTTTATTTTGAGACAGTCTTGCTCTGTCACCCAGGCTGCAGTGCAGTGGCATGATCTCGGCTCACTGCAACCTCTGCCTCCCGGGTTCAAGTGATTCTCCTGCCTCAGCCTCCCAAGCAGCTGGGACTACAGGCGTGTGCCACTGTGCCCAGCTAATTTTCGTATTTTTAGTAGAGACAGGGTTTCGCCATGTTATGGCCAGGCTGGTTTCGAACTCCTGACCTTAGGTGATCCACCCACCTCCGCCTCCCAAAGTGCTGGGATTACAGGCGTGAGCCACCGTGCCCAGCCCATGCTCATATTTTTAAACCCCAGCATGTACGCACACATCCATTTACATCTGGGTTTCTCCCAGTGCACTGTCAGCATCTCTTTAGAGAGTCTCCACACTGGGAGGAAGATGACTTTGGGAAGGACTGCTGTATATTAATTGCCATGGCACATGACGTCATCAGAGGTCATCTTATCCACTCGAAACCCCATTGTGTAGTGTTTTCTGACACCAAATGTGTGGTTTTTCAAACACCAGCAACCGATTCTCCAACACCAACTGAATGTCCAGCAATTCAGTACAGTTCTGATGCTATCTGGAGTTAGCCCAGACCCCACATTCCCATAGAACTACCCCCACTTCATTTGTCAGCACCAAATAGGGTGCCCAAACTACCCATACTTCTGTCCAGCCAACTCCAAATTGGGGTATTCCCATGATCCCTCAGGCTCAGTAATTCTCTAGAATGACTCAGAGAACTCAGGAAAGTGTGTGTTTACTACTGCAGATGTATTACAAGGGTACAACTCAGGAACAGCTGAAAGGAAGAAATGCCAAGGCCATGAGATGGGATGGGATGGCACAGGGTTTCCATTCCTTCTTTGAGCACGTCAGCCTCTCAGCACAGCACTAGCCTGGAAGCTTTCCAAGTCTAATCATTCAGGAGTTTTTATGATTCAGTTTGTAGTCCCTGTAACCTCCCTGGAGTTTGTGGGTCAGGGCTGAGAGTTCTGATCCTCTAGTCATATGTTCTCATTAGCATACAAAAGACAGTACATTCTGGTCAGGCATGGTGGCTCATGCCTGCAATCTCAGCACTTTGGGAGATTGAGGCAAGCAGATAATTTGAGGTTAGGAGTTCAAGACCAGCCTGGCCAACATGGTGAAACCCCATCTCTACTAAAAATACAAAAATTAGCCAGGCATGGTGGTGGGCATCTGTAATCCCAACTACTTGGGAGTCTGAGGCAGAATTGCTTGAACTCGGGAGGCGGAGGTTGCAGTGACCCAAGATTGGCACCACTGCACTCCCCCTGAGAGCAAGACTCCATCTCAAAACAAACAACCAACCCAGTAATTTCCAAGGGCTTGAGAAACTCTGTGCCAGGGACCAGGGACAAAGACCAAATATTTTTTATTTTGCCACACCTATCTTCTTAGAAATTTAGTTTACTTTCCCTTAAATATAACATAAATTTCATTAAGCATCAGTTTAACTTGTTGAGGCTTAACAGAAACTATTATTAACAAAAACCTTGAGAGATAAGAATACTGAGCGGGAGAAATAATACAAGAACTATTCTTAACCCTAATATACTTTGTCAAGTCTGACTTTTTAAAAAATCGCATTAAGCTTGCATAGAGCTGACTACATACCAAGCACTGTTAAAAGCAGTTTACATGTAACTCATTAATTGCACATTATTTCCTTTAACTATATTAATGAGGTAGGTGATATTACTATCCTTATTTTGCAGAACTGGAAATTGAGGCACAAAGAGGTTAAGTAACTGCCAAAAGTCCACTCAGCTAGTAAGTGGCATTCTGGCTCCAGAGTTCATGATCTTAAGCACATTCTCCATTGCTTTATTGGAAGACTAAACCTTTTAAGGTAGATACTCTATAATTCAGTGGGCTTCCTAAATGCAAACAGGGAAAACAGATGTGGATTCACCTTTCCTAAAGGCTTTGCCTGTCTTTAAGTTCTTCAACTAAATGAGACCGAAAGAGTCCAGGGGATATCACCCCCAAATATGGCACCTTGGTATGCTGATTATTTTATATTGAAGGTACTTGGGAATCAGCAGAGGCCAGAAGAGTTTTTTCTTTGAGGTTTCCTTATCTACCTAAAGATCTGCCAGAAGAGAACACAATTGTATTCTATCCCTTCCCTTGTTTTTTCATCAACCAAGGAAGAGTAAACTCATCACGGAAGAGACTGAAAGTCAAACACCACATCCAGAGTCCAGATGAACTTCATCCCACACCATTATCTGTTCTTTGTCTCCATTCACCTCCCCTAAAAACTATTTACTTTTCCTCCAAAAGTTGCCTACATTCCCCACTTCCCTCTCCCCTATGGAGAAGGGGATATAGCTTCTAAATCTCATTGGGTATTGAGGACTCACTTTCCTGTGATGCTTCCATGCATGTCAGAGGTGTTTGAACCAGAGGGACTCCGTCTTGAGTAGGGACTGGATAAAATGAGGCTGAGACCTACTGGGCTGCATTCCCAGGGGGTTAAGGTATTCTAAGTCATAGGGTGACATAGGAGGTCAGCACAAGATACAGGTCACAAAGACCTTGCTGATAAAACGGCATGTGGTAAAGAAGGCGACCAAAATCTGCCAAAACCAAGATGGCGGCCAAAGTGACCTCTGGTCGTGCTCACTGCTCATTATAATTATAATGCATTAGCATGATAAAAGACACTCCCACCAGTGCCATGACAGTTTACAGATGCCATAGCAACATCAGAAAATTACCCTATATGGTTTAAAAAGGGGAGGACCCTTCAGTTCTAGGAATTATCCACCCCTTTCCCAGAAAACTCATGAATAATCCACGCCTCATTTAGCATATAATCAAGAAATAACTATAAGCATCCTCAGTCAAGCAGCCCATGCCATTGCTCTGCCTATGGAGTAGCCATTCTTTATTCCTTTACTTTCTTAATAAACTTGCTTTCACTTTACTCTATGGACTCACCCTGCATTCTTTGTTGTGCGAGATCCGAGAAGCCTCTCTTACGGTCTGGAAGGGGATCCCTTTCCAGTAACACATGTACTAAATGTGTGTCCCTTTTCTCTTAATCAGTCTCTTGTCAGTTCATTTCATAGACTTGGATTAATTGAAACTTCAGGAGGGCTGAAGGAAAATACTCTTCACTCCTACCTGGCAAAACAATAGGGACATTTTAAAAGAGTTGTTTGATCTTCTCATTGAATTCAATAAGAATTACCCAAAGGGGTACCCGATGCTGGGGCTCCAGGTCATTCCATACAAAACTTTAAATTGGGTCTGCTTGGGGTTTTGTTTTGTTTTTTAAGGGACAGGGTCTTGCTGTTGCCCAGGCTGGAGTGCAAGTGGCACAATCATAGCCCACTGCAATCTCAAACTCCTGGACTCACACAATCCTCCTGCCTCAGCCTCCTAAGAAACTAGGACTACAGGACTGTGCCACCATGCCCAGCTCAATCTTTTATATTTTTATAGAGGAGAGGGTCTTGCTATATGGCCCAGGCTGGTCTTGAACTTCTGGCCTCAAGCAATCCTCCTGCCTCAGCCTCCCAAAGTGCTGGGATTACAGGTGTGAGCCATTGTGCCCAGTCTGGGTCTGCTTGTTATAACTAATTAACTGTAGTGGTAATTTGTGGTGGTGTTTTGTTCTGTTTTGTGTGTGTGTGTGTGTGTGTGTGTGTTTTGCTGGTAAAAGTAATACATTAATAATTTCATTTTACACAGTTTAGGAGGTGGGGAGAAAACACTTCTGATTCCATGGCCCCACCTCGAGCACCACCACTTGAATTGTTTTGGGGCTAATTTTTAATGTGCAATCCAAGGTAAAAGAAGATCTGTCAGATAGATGCATTCTTAAAGCTTCATAATCCCCATGTAGACCCGCTATTTTAACACAAGAGGGCACCAGTAGACAGTATAATCCCCCCTCCCACCACCACAGTGTCTAGCAAATGGGTGCTCTTGGAGAGTTTTATTTATTTTTGTTTGAAGACAGAGGCTGGCTCTGTTACCCAGCCTGGAGTGCAGGCGTATAAACACGATTCACTGCAGCCTCAACCTCTTGGGCTCAAGTGATCC